CTCACCCTTCCTCTTCGAAGAGGAGCCGCCGGACTTTGGGGAGGGAGTAATAGTCCTAGCATCCTTGGGCAAAAGGACTCCCAAGTCCTTGTTAGAATGAGCCCTCACGGCCTACAATTCCCACTCTTGGTCTTTGGAGAGCACAGACAGATCTGCAAGGAAATGATGGATGGGTACACATAAAAAAAAAAAGTAAGTATAGGGTGTACCGAGTTTCCTAGCAACACTCCATCGTGTTGGTATTAAAACCCTATCGACCTCTACAGCGCATTCTCCGCCAACGAATAAGAAACAGGATTTCTAGCTGTGGTAATTAGAGGGTAATCTCGTAAGCAACTTACCACCTCTCGTGGTAAAATAGTACCACCCTCTATATGGAGTAGGAGTCTCACTCAAGTTATAAGTTGCATGAAATTCAATAGAGGAGGCATCTTCATGATGCACTTTCCTCCACAATACCAAGAAACCTAGCAAAACTCTCCAACCGTGGGGTAATAACTGCCCCGGGGTGAGTGAAAAGTAATGGATAATACTACATATAGAAAGAGACATGGGGAACCTGAGCCCAGCCTCCAACATCTCCTCATAGATGACAATGTCACCAGAGGAGTCATCAAAGGCAGGTTCACCCATCTCAACTCGACGACATAGCATAGTCGAAGGGATGTGGTAGGTAGAGATTATCCGCAAAATATTGAAAAGTGATGGAGATAGTACTTACTTTGGACCCATCATCATCGAAAGCTAGCTTGCCTCGATGCTCTTTGGCATGAAGGCGTGAAACTTTGTCTGAGCCATTGCCGGGGAGGTTTTGAAGAATTTGATTTTGAGAAGTTACACTAGGAAGAGCCGAATCATTCCCACCAAAAGTATTCGTTGCACTCTGTTCTTTAACTCCAGAATCAGGCTTGCCAAAGGAGCCCAAGGTAGTCCCAGGCTCGCCTAAAGCAACCTCAGGCTTGCCCGAGGTGCCTAAGGCACCTCAATGCACACCTAAATCATCTCCAATCAGCAGCATGAGGAGAGGTTGCTCTGTCCACGCGCGCCCAGCAGTCTGCGACCCTAAAAATACCTCGCCATGCTTGTCTGCTAGCCTACGCAGGTGCTGCGCCCATCAAACCAGCAGCACCCAACTCCCCCTCTGCTCACCCATCTCTCCATGCCGCTTGGGATGTTCCTCCGTCACCACACCAGGCCACCACGCTCCCCAGTGATGCCCAAAGGAACTCCACAGCAGCGCCCAGATCTGGCACCCCCACATTGGCGCCCTGTCCTTGTCCATGCTCGCAGTAGCCTCGATTACCATAATGGGAGGCGTCCAAGGTACCCGACCTTCGCCCATACTCTCTCTTCCTCTAGTCACCATCATGTCTACAACTTCCAACCACCTCCACCATGTTGGGCGGCAAGGTGGCCATCACGTTCAATGCATACCTCTCCTTCTTCGATGATAGTGGATGCTTGCACCTCCTCCTTTCTAGTTGACATTGATGCTCAAACTCGAGAATCCTAAATCGTGGATCTCCAAAGGTTTCTAGAAAAATCTCTCCTCCTCTCTCAAGATTGTGTGAAGAGGGAAGAATGAAGAAAGAAGTTTCTATTTATCACCTAGGGTTTTAAAAGCAAAAAGGCCCAATTTGAATTGTAACCTAGGGCTTTTTCAAGAATCCAAAAAAGGACTAAATTAATTTCTAATAGATAGCTTTAATTGTACATGAATATTGTTTTATTAAAACTTTGATAATAAAATTCAATAGGAAAAACTTAAATGAAAGAAAAAAAATGTTCATTGTGCAAATTATCTTGATGTTGATAACTTAGTAGCTTCAATACAACATACAACATGAATGGTTGTGAAGTGACCATTGGGATAAGATAACAAGCCTCTATTCTAACTTTTCCATATAATTACAAAACAACAGCCCCATCTTTGTAATCAAATTTCTAGTCTTTATTATGCTTAACAAACCCGGAAAGAAAAAAGACACACACATACAAGAAACAGAGGAGGATCCACTCTAACTGTTTTACATATTTTCAAGCTCACAATGAACAAACAAACTACTAACAAACTTCCAATTGTTTCAAAGAATATTACACAACAGCTTCACAACTATAAAAGACATGACAATGGGAAAAGGCATTTCATCGATCAACTCAGTAACGCTGTCATCCAAGCTACTTGGGTTGCGTCAAGCTCACACTGAAGTCCCACAGTTTCTTTGCCAAATCTGCATCTTTAACATAAGAGGTGACCGTTTTAGCTACATTACTGTCTGAAAAATACTCACCACTTATACCCTTAACTTGTTGATGCAGTGCCACATAGCATGTAATTGCCGCTCCCTAAAACCATAAAAAACAACATCTATAAGAAAACTCTGTCATGGAAACATAGGGAGCTATGTTTGTCTAAAAGGACCACCATCGTCGGGATCCTTGTGTAAAAAATAGAAGATTATTGCACTTAAAAATGGAAGATTACAAACCTGTGCAACACTTTTTAGCACAAATTTACCAATAAAATTAGACAAGCCTGCATCATGGGGGGAAAAAAGCATTGACATCAGTCCAAATAATTCTAGGCTCGTTAAATGAGAGAGAAACTTACAGACTGATTATGTTTGAAATTTAGTGGGATATTCAAGAAATAAAATCATATTCTAGCACGGTTGTAACTTGTAAACCTAAAATTCATATTTCATGGACATAACTTTCCAACACACTGATAATGTTAGTATGCTAAATAATATGTAGCCAGTAATTAGAGACCAACTTCTATTATCAACTTAGTTTCAGATGAATATATAACAAATATCTACACAGTGAATAGTATCAATTCTACGGGTAAACTCTCTCGTATATCTACTCCTTCTTTTAAAGTGCATCTAAATGTTTTACAATTAGCATATGTTCTTTCTAGCAGAAATATGTAATCCTTTAATGGAGCTTCATTCAAACTCCTTTAAACATAGAATGCCCATGCAAGATTCAAGAGAAAAACTTTTAAATTGATGCAATCCTTCCATAAAAATGTGCAATCGAAATTCTTTCCATGAAAAAATGGAACTATTAAGATTATGTTTGGTTTGTGTTTAGAAAACTGTTTTTTATTCTCAAACAAGAAAAACATGTTTGGTTAGATTTTTTCAATCTCTAATTTTTAGAAAAAAGTGGGAATTGAGATGATTTTTAGAGAACATGTTGAGGGTGTTTTGGCTGAATTTGAGGACAAATTTTCAAGAACACAGAAAACAAGGAAAACGAGCCCAATTAATGAGATCCCACCATCGAATCTCATTAACTACAAAATAGGAGCACCGACGATTAACTCCAGTTGTCTTCTCCTTCTCTGCCGAAGTTCGACGACAACGTATGAGCACCGACGAAGGCCAAAGGTTGACAACGAACAACTATATTCTTCTCTCACGCAATTCATCTCCTTTCTTTCTCTCCCTGCAGCAGATTTGAACATATTTGTATATATACACAGATCTATGTGTGTGTGTGTGTGTATATATATATTCATATACATCACATAATATACCAATATATACACAGATCTGAACACTCACCGACACATACTGCCATCTCACACCCACACACTTATATTCATATACATCACATAATACATAAATACACAGATCTAAACACTCACCGACACATACAACCATCTCACACCCACACACTCATATTCATAAACATCACATAATATACCGATATATACACAAATCTGAACACCCACCAACACATACAACCATCTCACACCCACACACTCATATTCATATACATCACATAATTCATACATATATATGTGTGTATGTGTGTGTCGGTGGGTGTTCAATGGCTGTATGTGTGGGTAGGTGTTTGTTGGCTCTGTGTGTGTGACTGTTCTTGTTATGTGGGAAGATAATGTGGAGAGAGAGAAAAAAAAAAAGAATTAAGACGGTGGAGTGATTACCGAAGAGTGAAAGTACAAAAGTGTAATTTTTTTTTGGGGGGGGGCAAAAGTAATAATTTAAAAATTAGTTTTTTGGATTATTGTCCAAATATATTTTACAATTTTTTGTTTTTTAAAACTATTTTCAAAAATATATAACCAAACAGGTTTTGAAATCTAAAAAATTTTAAAAACATTTTCTTAAAATTTTTCTCAAAAACTATTTTTGAATACTGTTTTTTGAGATACAAACCAAACAAGCTCTTAGATTTCAAGAGCGACTATTTTCTTATATTAAAATGTTATGATTTTCTTAAAAAATTCTTACTTATTAACCCTCAAATCCCTAAAAAATTCACAAACCTCAAGAATTTGAGTTTGTTAAAAAACAGAATGACATAATTAAGAAATAGCGTGACATCAAATAATGAATTCACACAATAAAGAGTGACATAATTAAAAGATAGTATGACATATTTAAAAAAATAATGCTACATCAAAGAGTTATATAATTTTAAAAATAATGTGACATCAAACAATGACGTAAATTTAAAAATAGTGTAACATTAAATATCATAAAATTAATGACCTCTCTTGTAGAAGACCGATAATGGGCATCGATAACTGTTTGAAAAAGATGAAAATAAAAAATAAAGATATAAAAAGGAATAATTATAGTTTGAATTAATATACAACAAAAATATTAACTGCCAAATATGTTTTTGTAATATTTTTAAAATTCAAACAATTAATTGCCCATTAAAATAGGAAATCACTCAGTCAATAAAAACAAAATAAAAAAAAAAGCTACTAGATATTTCATAAATAAGTAAAGACCTTTAGGTACTATTAAAATATGAAAATTTAAAAATACACACTTAATCATTAAATTTTTTATAGAAAGTATACTTATTAACTTAAAGACGACAGACTTTTCTTAGAATATTTTCAAAAAATTATATCCCCACAAGTTTTCCTAAATATTATGAGTTTTCATTTGACAATCGGGGGCCTTTAGAATGGTGGCTGACCACTTCAATGGCCTTGCCTTAAGGTTGGCCCTGCAACAAGCCTCAATTGTAACTTTTCTATATAATTACAAAATGACAGTAATCAAGTTTTAACTCTTTATTATGCTTATCAAACCAAGAAAGAAAAAAAAAACATACACACAAAAAAGGAGAGGTTGGAGAGAAAAGGGGGGGGGGGGAGGGGGGGGGAGGGGGGATCTACTTTAACTGTTTTACATATTTGCAAGCTCACAATGAACAAACTACAATCAACTCCCAGCTTCACAAGTAATAAGACACGGGCAACGGCATTTAACAGATCAACTCGGTAAGGCTGTCATCCAAGCTACTTGGGCTGCGTCATGCCCATGCTGAAATCCCACAGTTTCTTTGCCAATTCTGCATCTTTAGCCTGAGAGCTCGGTTTAGCTACATTACTGTCTGAAAAATACTCACCACTAATACCCTTAACTTGTGGATGCAGTGCCACATAGCATGTTGTTGCCGCTCCCTAGAACCACAAAAAAAAAAAAAAAAAAACACCAATAAGAAAACCGTGTCGTGGAAACATAAGGAGCTATATTTATCTCAAACGACCACCATTGGGATCCTTGCGTAAAAATTCAAGATTATTGCACTTAAAAATGGAAGATTACAAACCTGTGCAGCATCTTTTAGCACAAATTTACCAATCAAGTTAGACAAGCCTGCATGATGGGGGGGGGGGGGGGGGGGAAAGCATTGACATCAATCCAGATAATTCTAGACTCATAAAATGAGAGAGAAACTTACGGACTGATTATGTTCGAAGTTTTTTGGGATATTCAAGAAATGAAATCGCATTCTAGCATGGTTTGAAACTTGTAAACCTAAAATTCATACTTCATGGACAGAACTTTCCAACTGATATGTTTAGTAGCCTAAATTAAATGTAACCAGTAGTTAGAGACTTACAATTAGAGTATGTTCTTTCTAGTAGTAATATGTAATCCCTCTGGTAAACTATCTCGTATATCTACTCCCTCTTTTAAATGGTATCTAAATGCTTTACAATTAGAGTATGTTCTTTCTAGTAGTAATATGTAATCCAACTAAGTGAAAATAACAGAATCCTTCTTGACAAGCCTTACCTTTTTTGCAGACATACGATTTTAACTTGTGCTTCATAGAGACTTAGCAATGGATGCATGAAGAAAAATTGCACACACAACCAGAGGAAAAAATGTCTCAGGAACAAGGTATACGGATTTTTGCTTTTGAATGATACAATTAACAAGCTTCACATTATCCAAAAGAAGTGTAAGTGTATTTGCAGGTTTTTATTTTTGGAACTCAACCACAGCAATCCAACTATATTTACTGTAATTTGTAGAACATAAACAATCAGAAGGTGAAAAGTCCTTATGTTTACCATTCATAATGCTGTGGTGACGCATAAGATTAGTGGCAATAGCTCCAGGATGAAGTGAATTAGCAGTTATCTCTACCCCTTCTTCCTGGTCAATGGTAGAAAAAAAGATATTACACTACATCCCAACAAAGATGATTATTGGACAGCAACTGCTTTCAAATAAACGGGACAAGTGACTTTGATAATTGTCATGCCTCACAAGTCACATGATACAGAAACAGCCTTAATTATATATGTATGATGTGTTCGAAAAAATTCATTAAAAATCTCAACTTCCCGTAGTTACCAACATTCACATAATTTGGTAGCCTACGGTTAACATCAAGATGATCAATTAGAATTCGGCAGGAGGTAAGCCAAGACTACTATATTTCTCTAAAGTCGAAACTTTAAGTAAGCTCAAGAGTGATTTTTCAGTACTGGTTCAAATGACAACGCATTCTTTCAGTACTGGTTCAAATGACCCAACATCCGTGATCATCCCATAGGGCTGGCATTTTATGAGTCTCATAATATTTTTTTTTTTTTATGAGTCTCATGACTCATGAGTCCAATTAGGCAGTATTTTTTGATGGTGTTTCAGATTGTTGAATTTAAAATCCAACCATTTGTTTCTTTCACTGGATCCAAACCAAACACTGCAATGGAATGTAATCACCGCTCCATTAAACATCTCTAGCCATAGACATTATTATTGAGAAATTCACTAACAAAATTCTCTTTTGCAGCCTCAAACAGTGTTACTTGAAGGAACAACTACTTTGCTTAGTCGACACCAAGGCACCTCAGCTACAATGGCAAAAGACTAACATAAAACCATGAAAGTGACACTAAAACAAACTGGTATACTTAGTGGCATTCGCTGAATTTAGTACAGATTCTATCCACTTTGCAACCCACTGTTGTCTGGAAAGGAGCAAAACAAATCAACAAATTACCTTCAAGCACCTTGCCAGCTCATTGGCATGCAATATGTTAGAAAGCTTTGATTGTCCATAAGCACTCCAACTCTTGTAACTGAAAAATAAAACCAGATAGTAAGGATTAATGTCTGATAAATGGACTTCATGTTTTAAAAACAAAAATTTAACATTAATTAGGCATAAAAATTAAAAACTGTTCATCAATTGCCTTGGTTTATCATTAATTTTATCGAAACGAATTCCTTCCGGGTAAGTGAACTTATGACCCATTGATGAAACATTAACAATCCTTCCTTCTTTGAGGCTTTCACGTGCTGTGTTTTTCATGTTCTCCAACAAAAGACTTGTCAAAAGAAAATGACCTGCACAAACAGAGATAAATTCTCTTATATTTACAATATATGTTTTTTGCATTTTGAAGAGAGAGTAGCGTATCAACATGGGAACTCCATGAAGTAAAAACAGTTTAGGAGATGCAATGTTGTAATAACCCATACAAAAATGTACTTTAAATATGGTAGTATTGTTGGATAGGTCAAACTCTTCTTCTATATATATAGATATTTTTAGGTTTGATAGGGTCTTTTGATGAGAAAGCTTGTGGGGATGCCTATCCAGTGAACAAAGAAAAATAATAATAAGGTGTGAGAGAGAGAGAGAGAGAGAGAAGACAAATGGGTTGGGTCCATTAAAGGTATGAGTTTATTATTTATCTGATGGATTTTATAGTTTATTCAATTACATGGTATTAGGTGGATAGTGTATAATATATATATATATATGGATCTCATCATAGTTATTTTAATTATCAAAATTATTGGATTGAATTTGAGGTTGTAGTTGTTTAACTACAATAGGTCGACAAAGAAAAAGAATGATTTGACTTGTTAAGTTTGGAGAGGAATAAAATCTGAAAATCCTGTAAGGTTGAAGTAGGTTAAACCCAGAAATTACAGGGACATCCCCTTTGATTTCAAAGAGTTTTATATGGACCCTTATATCTTTATAAATTTAATTTTAATCACATTTTTATTTGGCAAGTTAGAAGAATAAAATTCTGGAAAATTTATGGCAACCCTGAAAACAGAAAATTTATTCCTCAAAGAAATTACACTTTGACCCTAAAAGTTTCAAAAATCATGATTTGACCTAAAAAAAATTTCTAAATTACTCAGACTATTTCCATAACCTATTATGTCATATTAGAAGGGTTATTTATATGTAAATGATATATAAAGTATATATCAATGGGTAGGAAGTACGAAAAATTAAATATAGAATTACGAAATTACAAAATTAAGAATAGGGATCGATTGTTACATGTTATTGTGAATTATGTGATAATTGCATTGAGATTTGGAAAGAGGGTTTTGAACTGAAGTTCGTGAATTAAAGTGAGTAGTTTACTACTTCTTTTGAGAGAATTTTCTATATTAAACCTATGGGTGCATGTGTGTGGATATTTCCTATATATGATATAAATGTTAATGTTTGGGATTGAAATTAAATGTTTGTAATTGTGAATTGTTATACATGTGAATTTTAAAAACTTGTAGGATGATTTTATATCATTGCTTACATGTGTGCGCACTGGGACTAAAACAATAGTTTTTGTGTGTGTTAAAATCAAGTTTTATAAGACGGAGACTGAGTTATCACATCTAAATGGTAATAAGATTGAAAGTATACCAGTGTGATCAATATAGAAATGTGCACATAGGGACCAGTCATTAGGCTAGGGATAATAAGAGATGGGGTCAGTTACCCAACTAGTGGTGACAAGAGCCGGGACTAATTACCAGGCAAGTGGTAACAAACATGAGATGACAAATGTATTTGAAACTAAATGTGTGTGTGTGGATGTTTTGGGTTATTAATGTCTTTTAATTCATAAAGTTATTTATGGAAATGAATGGGTATTTTGAGCTATAAATGTCTTTTCATTTATAATGTCATTTGTGAGCATGAAATCATTTCTATCTAAATGATTATGTGAAAAGGGCTGGATACAATTCATTGTACTTATGTATATACTAAAGTTTATTTTTATATATAAACTGTGGGATTTATTTTCACACTTCATTAGAAGTAGTTACTATTCACGAGTCGTAATGCTCATATAAACATTTAACATTTTTCAGATGAAAATTAGGATAAATAGTAAGTCCACAGATAGATAAGGGATTAGAGGGCTTAAAGATTTATTTTATTGTAAATCTTTAGGAATAAATGTATTTTATAGTTTTGAGACAAATATTTAATTATTTTGGTAAAAATGTTGTTTACGATTAGAGTTGCAAACCTTATGGTTTGATTATGGTTTTATTTGGGTTTAATAATGATGTTGGTGATGTTTAACTCATTTCTCTGGTATTCATTGATCGGTGGATTAGATCACTTTATTTTTTGTCTTCTGCTATATTTTTCATTTTTTATGCACAAGGTTAGTTGGTTAAGGCCTTGGTGGCTAACCGATTGCTCACCCTAAGTGATCCGCGGCTGGGGCATGACAAATATAGCATCTTGAAATCATCCACTACAAGAATTGTTTTCCATCTCCAACCAGAAAAAAAACTCTCATTTTCACAAAAATCCTTCTTATTGGAGAAGATCACATACTTGGACAAAAATAAGAAGATAAAGAGAAGTAGAAGACAGAAATACAGCAACCATCTTGCTTTCTGGACCCCCCAACCATCTTGATTGATAACAAGACCAAAAGTAGAAGAAAAAGAAAAGGCCGAGAAGAACAAACAATTGAAAGGTACTAATTGAATACATTTTCAGCTCTGCGAGGACAAAGGAAGACCTCTCTTTTCGATATAACTAGGCATAATGTCCAAAAAAAAACACACAAGACCACTTTTCAAGATGTAGGGAGTTTAGCACAGTCAAAGGAACCATTTATGAATAAATAACATCAAATCCAACATTTTTGATTCCTAGGATCTGTAAATTCTATACTTCCATTAAGAGGTTAGTACTCAACCTTGATTATCAGGTACAAAGTCAAATTTCTACAAGTCCTTTTTCTTCTAGCATTGATTTTACATTCTAGCAAAACTGCATTCAATTAATCCCTATCAACTATCAGGGCATATGTATATAGCAAAACTCTAGTCTCTTGCAATAATCACTGAAAAACGACTGAACTAGACCACTTTCAGTTTACAAATTTCTAGCACCCACAAGCTTCCAGGGCAAACATAAATATCAAGCAAGTTAGCAACAGTGCAACATACCTAGATGGTTGGTTGCGAATTGCAGTTCAATGTTGTCTTGGGAAAGCATAAATGGAGGAGCCATGACACCTGCATTGTTACTTCCAACACCACATATTTCAGCCCTTGTTATATTCAAAATAAACTGGTGGAAATGTAAGAGTGTAGGCTTCCGACCGTACTTTTGTACATTCACACTCACACACACAACCATGCATATAAGCCACAAGAAAACAGTAAAATGTTCAGATGTTACATAGTTTTTCTTACATGAGGATATTCAGGGGAAGACAAGAGGAATTATATTCCGTTGCAAATTTTCTGACAGATGCCATTGAACTCAGATCTAACTCCATAACCTCAACTTTAGAAGTGCGATTTTTTTCAAGTATTGCTTCTTTAACTTTTGTTCCAGCATCCATATTTCGTACAGCCATAACCACATGTACACCACGCAAGGCAAGGACACGTGTAGTTTCAGCGCCAATACCACTTGACGCTCCTGAAATACATAGAGTATGAGCACAGATATATTTCATTAATCAATTTTCACCGACACTAGCATAAATGATTCTAGATCTGTCAACATGTGAGCATCAAAATAGGAAAAGACAGGCATATATCATTTGTGACAAACTCAGAAATATCATGAGGTCCAAAAGAATATGAACCAGACATCAGAAAAAAGTAAAAATTTATATAAGCAGCTTTCATTATAAAATGAGAGGCTGACCCACCATACTTTCAAAATGCCAAATCTATTGGAAATGAGTAAATATTAACGTGAAAATGAAAACCACATGATCAGAAGCAAAGGCAGGAATTGAAAAACCAAGGGTAGAACAAAATATAATATAGTGCTGAAAGGGGCTACACTGAAAAGATCCATACTACAAGCGGCAAACTTAATAACATATTGAAAATAACAAAAAATTCCAGTCCTAGTGTGGATGTGGCTTTGCCACAGCACATGATGCCTTAAGAGCTGAGGAGCCCATGGGGTCACCCTTTAAGATGGAGATTAAAATAATATTGTAAACCTCGCTCTGAATATGCACGATTCTTGGATGATTGTAAAATGGTAAATGGTTTACTCAGACTCCCACGACCAAATCAGAATAAAACCAATGAAAAAGATCATACTTGACCCAAATTGGCCCACCAATTTTTATCACATACCCACCTATATTATGTGCAACAACGTTAGCCAAACTGCAATTGCATAAAGAAGTAGAAAAACTCAGACGGAAAATATGGAACTTCAAGCATTCATCAAGAACAAAGTTGCAAAAGTACACAAAATCAGTATCTTCGGACACTACACCTCGTTGTAAGATGTTAAATCGAAACCATTAAACAAATCAGACCTAATCAAAACTACCCAACAAAAAAAAAAAGTACTTCATACAGATTTTAAGGTGAGCAATTTTGTTATCTTTCAATCGTCGCCATGATCTTGCATCAGAGTACATAAGTCAACACTACCATCAACAAATCTAAGAAAGAGACTTCTTAGGTTGATAATTGAACACATCCATGAAAAATAAAAAATAAAAAAAACAAAGGCAGACCCAGAAGAAAAGAAGACCTGTTACAATGGCGGTGAGGCCAGTTCCATCAATCCCTTCGGTAACTTCCTCAGCTGTAGAAGAAGAAGAGAACCCAGATGGCCCATTCTTTGCAAAAAACCACATCTTTTCTTAGGGATTGATCAGACTGATTGAAACAACACAAAGGTTATCACAAAGACACTGCTTCAACTTGGAAACAAATTATGGAGCTATTTGAAGTGGCTCGTACCAGGAGAAGTTGTTGACTTTTTTTGCTTCTTGTGGTCCGTTTGTTTAATTATATGATGTTAAAAGATATATTAAAAAAAAATTTACAATTTTATATGTGTTTGTATAACATAGAATAAACAATAAATGAAAAAATAATTTTTTTTCATATTTAGATTTTTTAAAATCTAACTAATTTTTTTCTTACAAAAAAAAAGTAAAAAAATTGTGTTTAATAATTTAAATTCTCTTTTTACTCTTACTTTTTCTTAAAATATTCAATTAGTTATTAATTTTAAAAATTTTTATACAAATTATACTAACCATATAATGTGGTCTAGAGATAAGGATTTGAATCGATTCTTGTCTATGAATTAGGTTAGGAGTCAATTTTTAAAAATTTGAATAATAAAAAATATTTTTTCTTCTTTAAACCGAGTTAAATTAATTAAGAATAATTTAAACAATTAAAAAAAATTCTTCTAACTTTCCTTTCTTTCAAACAATGAAATGAAATTATTTTAAAATTTTCTTAAAAATTTTTTGAGCTAACCAAATGCATTTATATGAAAATATATTTTTTTTCAATTTCATTTTTTTCACTTCCCTTTCCATCCATTTCACTTTTCGTCGTCTCATTCTTACTAACCAAACGAACCTTGGTGATTGGGAAACTCCAGACGGTATTTTTGACCAGTAATCCGACGGATGATATGGCTTGGAGTGATCTGTATAAAATTTTTGGTATTTTAGACCAAAAAATACTTTAATCAAAGATAGGATATCAAATATTTTAAATTTTACAACAAAAATTTATATTCTATTATGATGTTTATTGAAATAAAATTAAAAATAAAAATCTAATTTTTTAAAAAAAATTATAATTAATATACAATTATACTATCTATTATAATTTAATTTAGTTGTCTAAATGATCAAATTAAACAACCAAATTATCTCACTTAAAGTTAAAAGATATTGTTTCTGTAACAGTTTGACCCCTTATTTGATTTTTTTTTTGTTTTATTCTAATAGATAGTATAATTGTATATTAATTATGACTTTTTAAGAAAAAATGAGATTTTTATTTTTTATTTTATTTCAATAAATGACATAATAAAACATAAATTTTTGTTATAAAATTTTTGTTATATTATGAATGACTTAGACCCCTTGTTTAATTTTTTAGTTTTATTCTAATAAATAGTATAATTGTATACTAAATTACGAATTTTTAAGAAAAATTAGATTCTTATTTTTTTTTTATTTCAATAAATGATATAATAAAATATAAATTTTGGTTGTAATATTTGATATTTTATTGAGTATTTTTTGTCTAAGTATAACATTTTAAACTTTAAGAGTCTAAGTGTTATATGCTTACAAATTTCAAGGTGTTTGAGTGTAATTTACTAAAAATATATTAACCAATATTGACAACAAGAATCTTAGTCTTACGTACATACAAACTTTAGATGGTTTGTGTATAATATTTTAAATATCAAGAGGTCTGAATGATTAAATGACAAATCTCAAGGGACCTAAGTGTAATTCTCTCTTAATTTTTTTATTTTTTTTTGGTGGAGGAAAAGACAAAGTACTATATTGGTGACAAGGTCCATGTCCCATTGCCCTATATTAATTTCGTCCTTATCACCAACATTGAACAATTCTATTTTGATTCGAACTTACGAAAATCGATAATTTTGGCTTAAATTCACAAAAATTTAATTCAATTATCAGTCTTATCCACCATGTACATGTGTTTTAACACTCTACTTTGGATGATCATTAATTTATAAAAGTGTTGGATACATGAATATTGTTTTATTAAAACCTTGCCAATAAAATTTAATAGGAAAAAACTTAAATGAAAGAACAAAAGTTCATTGTGCAAATTATCTTGTACCTTGATGTTGATGACTTAGTAGCTTCAATACAGCATACAACATGAATGGCTGTGGAGTGACCATTGGGATAAGATAACAAGCCTCAATTCTAACTTTTCCATATAATTACAAAACAACAGCCCCATCTTTGTAATCAAATTTCCACTCTTTATTATGCTTAACAAACCCAGAAAGAAAAAAGACACACACACATACAAAAAACAAAGGAGGATCCACTCTAACTGTTTTACATATTTTCAAGCTCACAATGAACAAACAAACTACTAACAAACTTCCAGATTTTTCAAAGAATATTACACAACAGCTTCACAACTATAAAAGACATGACGATTGGAAAAGGCATTTCATCGATCAACTCAGTAACGCTGTCATCCAAGCTACTTGGGCTGTGTCAAGCTCGCGCTGAAATCCCATAGTTTCTTTGCCAATTCTGCATCTTTAGCATGAGAGGTGACCGTTTTAGCTACATTACTGTCTGAAAAATACTCACCACTTATACCCTTAACTTGTGGATGCAGTGCCACATAGCATGTAGTTGCCGCTCCCTAAAACCATAAGAAACAACATCTATAAGAAAACTCTGTCATGGAAACATAGGGAGCTATGTTTGTCTAAAAGGACCACCACCATCGGGATCCTTGTGTAAAAAATAAAAGATTATTGCACTTAAAAATGGAAGATGACAAACCTGTGCAATACTTTTTAGCACAAATTTACCAATCAAATTAGACAAGCCTGCATCATGGGGAAAAAAAAGCATTGACATCAATCCAGATAATTCTAGACTCATTAAATGAGAGAGAAACTTACGGACTGATTATGTTTGAAATTTATTGGGATATTCAAGAAATAAAATCATATTCTAGCACGGCTGTAACTTGTAAACCTAAAATTCATATTTCATGGACGTAACTTTCCAACACACTGATAATGTTAGTATGCTAAATAATATGTAGCCAGTAATTAGAGACCAACTTCTATTATCAACTTAGTTTCAGATGAATATATAACAAATATCTACACAGTGAATAGTATCAATTCTACGGGTAAACTCTCTCGTATATCTACTCCCTCTTTTAAAGTGCATCTAAATGTTTTACAATTAGCATATGTTCTTTCTAGCAGAAATATGTAATCAAACTATACTTAATGTAATTTGTAGAACATAAACAATCAGAAGATGAAAAGGCCTGATGTTTACCATGCATAATGCTGTGGTGACGCATAATATTAGTGGAAATAGCTCCAGGATGAAGTGAATTAGCAGTAATATCCACCCCTTCTTCCTGGTTAACGTAGAAAAAACAGATATTATACAACATTCCAATAAGGATGATAATTGGACAACAATTGAATGTCAAATAAAAGGGACAATTGACAATGTCTCACAACTCGAATGGTAAAGTAACAGCCTTAACTCTATGTATGATGTGTTCAACAAAATTCAGTAATAATCTCAACTTCCCGTAGTTACCAACATTCACATAATTTGGAAGCCTACGGTTAACATCAACATGACCAATTAGAATTCTGCAGGAGTAAGCCAAGACTACTAGACTTCTCTTAAGTCGGGACTTAAGAGAAGTTCGAGAGAGATTTTTCAGTTCTGTTTCAAATGACAACAAACGCATACTCTCTGAACTGTGACCCAAGGTCATCACATAGGACTGGCATGTTATAAGTCTCATGACTCGTGAGTCCAATTAGGCAGTGCTTTTTGATGGTGTTTTTCATTGTTGAATTTAGAATCCAGCCATTTGTTTCTTTCAATGGATCCAACACTGCAGCAGAATGTAATCAACGCTCCATTAGACCACTCTAGAATTTCGACACTGTAGACAGAGACGTTACTTATCGAAAATTCACTACCAATTCTCTTTTGCAGCCTCAAACACACACAAAACCATGAAAGTGACACTAAAACAAACTGGTATACTTGATGGCATTCTCTGAATTTACTACATTTCTATCCACTTTGCAACCCACTGTTGTCCGGAAAGAAGTAGAACAAATTACCTTGAAGCACCTTGCTAGCTCATTGGCATGCAATATGTTAGCAAGCTTTGATTGTCCATAAGCAGGAAAATCCTTGTAACTGAAAATAAAACCAGATAGTAAGGATTAATGTCTGCTAAATGGATTTCATGTATTAAATTAAACATTAGGTAGGCACAAAAAATAAAACTGTTCATTGGCTTGCCTTTTTTTATCATTAATTTTATCAAAACGAATTCCTTCAGGATAAGTGATCTTATAACCGTCTGATGCACAACATTAACAATCCTTCCTTCTTTGTGGCTTTCACGTGCAGTATTTTTCATGTTCTCCAACAAAAGATTTGTCAACAGAAAATGGCTGCACAAACAGAGATAAATTTTCTTATATTTTACACCATATGTTTCTTGCATTTTCAAGAGAGAGTAACAAACATATCAGCAGGGAACTCAATGAAGTAAAAACAATTTAGGAGATGCAATGTAGCGTCTTAAAAATCATCCAATACAAGAATTGTTTTCCATCTCCAACTCGAAGAAAAAGTCTCATTTTCACAAGAATCCTTCCTATCGGAGATAGATCATATGCTTGAAAGCTACTAATTGAATACATTTGCAGCCCTGCGAGGACAAAGGAAGACCTCTCTTTTCGATATAACTAGCCATAATGTCAAAAAAAAACACACAGACCACTTAGCATAGTCAAAGGAACCATTTGTGAATAAATAACATCAAATCCAACATTTTTGATTCCTCGGATCTGTAAATTCTATACTTCCACTAAGAAGTTAGTATTCAACCTTGATTATCAGTTATAGAGTCAAATTTCTACATGTCCTTTTTCTTCTAGCATATGATTTTACATTCTAGCAAAACTGCATTCAATAAATCATCATCAACAATCAAATATTCAGGACATATGTAATAGCAGAACTCTAGTCTCTTGCAATAATCAGTGAAGAAGGACCGAAAACAGACCACTTCCTGTTGAAAAATTTCTAGCACCCACAAACTTCCAGAGCAAACATAAACATCAAGCAAGTGAGCAACAATGTTCAACATACCTAGATAGTTAGTTGCAAATTGCAGTTCTACGTTGTCTTTGGAAAGCTTGAAAGGAGGACCCATGATACCTGCATTGTTACTTCCAACACCATGTATTCCACTCCTTGTTAATTGCTATATTCAAAATAAACTTGTACATTCACACGCATACACACACAGCCATACATATATATAAGCCACAAGAAAAACAGTAGAGTTAATGTTACATAGTTTTCTTACACGAGGATATTCAGGGGAAGACGCGAGGAGTTATACTCGGTTGCAAATTTTCTGACAGATTCCATTGAACTCAGATCTAACTCCATAACCTCAAGTTTAGAAGTGGGGTTTTTCTGAAGTATTGCTTCTTTAATCTTTGTTCCAGCATCCACATTTCGTACAGCCATAACCACATGTACACCACGCAAGGCAAGGACACGTGCGGTCTCTACGCCAATACCACTTGACGCTCCTGAAATACATAAAGAGTAGAGTATGATGAGCACACATATTTTCTATGTGAACTGCTACGTGTACCGCCCGACGGTATAGATACCGAAAGTTATAATTTTTTACGGTTAATTTATAATGTTTTTTTAAGGTGTATCAATTATAGAATATTGAAATCGATACCACATTTTTTATGATTGATCATAGATGTATGTGATTGATCATGACCTCTCTCGAACAATTACAACTTCTCTTTTTAAAGTTATAACTTTACTATACAAATTAGTAATTGACGGTAGTAGTTCCAGAAATTTTTTTCGGGTACAATAAGAATTTCCCTATTTCTATAATCATTTTTTCACCAACACTAGCATAAATGATTCTAGACCTGTCAACATGTGAGCATCACTCGTCTTATATGTAATAACATCAATATACATACATATATATATTAATCACATCGAATTTTATTAGATCGAATTAATATATCATTATCGATTTAAGATATCTAAATTAATACAGACAAATTGATAAAGGAATGAAAATATTAGTCCATATCTGATTAAACAGATTTAAATTCGGACCAAATTGGGTCTATTTGCAGCCCTACGCATTTGGAACCCCCAAGTTTATACCTAGCTAGCACCTATCACGACAACCCAGTTGCAGGAGTACACAAAATGGGTATCTTCAGATACAAGTCATTGTAAGATGTTAAATCGGAACCAGTAAACAAACCAGACCAAATCCAAACTACCCAACAAAAAGAAATGTACTTAAGAACAGGGGAGTCCACAAAAGCAGTATCTTCTTTTTTTTTTTTAATTCAACGGATAGTAAT